GATTCCATTCATGCTGTTAGTGGGCTTGATCAACGCCTACGCTGTGGGCAACATGATCGTTGCACACCTGATCAAAGCGGACTTTCCTTTCTTCTATATCTTCATCGGCATTGCCCCTCTCGCGTTGGGCGTGCTGGACCGTGCTGCGCCCTTGCTTGGTCTTTGGCAGAGCGTTCTTGGGAACGAATCCGGTCAAGTCGCCTATCTCTTCGGATGTCTGGGTCTGGCCATCGGTGTGTACGGAAGTTTTGTGGTATGTCCTACGGCCCGACAATAAGGAATCATAATCGAGGCTGACGATCCCCAGCACGATGTTATCATCACAATATGTGATTACATTGACATTTGGTGCTTGTCCATCAAGTATCCACATGTCGAAGAGCGGCCGATTGCTAACGGGCAACCCAAGAAAGTGCTGTGAGGGCAAAGTCTGCCCACTGAAACCATTCGGCTGCATATCAACTATGCCAGAATCACATACAACAGCAAATGCGTGATGGAGGGACGTTGGCGAAGAGCTTTAAGTGGGAAAGCAATACCCGATCGCACTGTATTGTATTGTACGCTAGAGCCGTTCAGTCGGGTTACTGTTTTGCTTCATCTGGATCGATTTGGATTATTGAGCTATACCTCAGGTAGATACAGTCTACCTGGTGCCTATATTATAGCTGGTCTGGAAACCAGCCTTTGACATGTTTGACATTATGCGGGAATTGGATTAGCGGTTCATTCAACAGCAGCTATTTCTAATGAATTTGATACGTTACGGATTGAGCTATTCTCTACCAAACTCCTGAAGGGGAGTCATGTAGGGATCGACCCCCCCGGCGTCATCATAAAGAAGTAGCTGGACAGATCCAGAAGACCGGACTATGGACCTTGATGGTGAGGACTACCTGATCAGGAATAGTGAATATGGGGCTCAGGCTATACCTCAACAGACATAGCAAAAGGTATGATTGGCTACCTCTTGGGCGGGGATGGGACAGCACACGGGCCGTGTCAAAATTACCAGTAAGAGGAAGGTAAGCGAGGGTTTGAGCCCTATTCTCCCCAAACGGGCCCGGCTGGGCGACGCCCTCAGAGAATTCCCTTCAAACTTCGCCATCTCCACGAGACCACCTCTTTCGCTTCAACACCCCTCAAGCAGGCCATCTCCATCAGCGCAGCATTTCAATCCATTTCGCTGATCGACTTTTTGTCTCGTCAAGATGGTAGGTTCTACTTGCATTTTAGCTTCATGCAACACCTTGGGATATCCCCTAGCCGTTCTGCTTGTCGTCTGCACAGGCTAAGGAGCTTGCTGCCCGTCGTGTGCACGCCTGTCGCCGGACCGTTTCTCATCTTCATCGCAAAAAGACATCAAAGTATCAATGACTAACACAATTTTTCTCTTTCACAATAGGTTCTCGCGGTCGACCTCCTCAACCCTACTCCTCAGGCTGAGGCTCGCAAGCACAAGCTTAAGGTATGATACCGAAATACATGTCCACCAAGGTCCCGGATCCGATGGCTGATGTTGGGAATCGCTTCGACAAATAGACCCTTGTGCCTGCTCCCCGTTCCTTCTTCATGGACGTCAAGTGCCCCGGCTGCTTCACCATCACCACCGTCTTCTCCCACGCCCAGACCGTCGTCGTCTGCGCCGGCTGCTCGACCGTCCTTTGCCAGCCCACCGGTGGCAAGGCCAGACTTACTGAGGGCTGCTCCTTCCGGAGGAAGTAAATGTCACATTACGACGCAACCGAAGCCGGAGCGATGATTTAGGGAATGTGGCGTTCTTCTTCGACGATGGATTAATCTTTTTTTTTTTGAGAGAGAGAGCAGATTGCAGATAGAAGATGGAGTCCTCGCCCCCTTTGCGGGAAATCTCAAAAAAATTACAAAGTTCGATCCGAAAAAAAAAAGCATTACCGGGCAGTTAATTGCCACACCCAAAAGCATTGACGATCTGTTAAGCTTTTATTCTCATGGAGGGGAGTTCCGGATATCTGGCATATGAACACGGTCCAACACTATATCAATCCGTTTTTGCACATCTTCTACTCGTTGCTTCTTAACTCTGTTCTTCTACTTGTTCTCACGCACTTGTTGATATTGTACGACGATTCTTCTCATTAACGGATTGTATCTCGGTTACCCTGAAAAACGACACGGACTATGACGGGCTCTTCCTCTCGGCGAATAACGAACGACATCTGCACGAGCCTGGCTGGCCACAACGATACCCAGATGTCGGATGAAACGGAGCGTTCGTCGTTGACGGCAATGGATGGACTCTGGAGTGGCCGGTGCAGCGCTAGGACGGGCGATGTTGCTGCTGGATGATGCGGGAGCGAGTGTTCATGGCAGGAGAGCTTGCAGTTGGTTACGGTTTATCCTGTAGCTAAGCTGTAGTTAGTCTCGACTGCTGTAGTGAATCTCAAGCCCTAGTTTCAGTCCTCTGGTGTCGCCCATGTAACTGTACTTGTAAATGAACTTGTTTCCACACTCGTCTATGCTACTTGCTACACACTTCGTAGATCTTATCTCGCTACGGGCACATCGTCCTCGTCATCGGCCCCATTCCTTCCCACGTCTTTCTTATCGATTATCAATCACCCCGGTTGCCCCCCCTATTGCCCCACCTAGTCCGCGATTCACCATGCGTACTACATATGTTTGACACTATTGACTGACTGCAGCATACTGGGCACGCTGCGCCGATTGACAGCAGAGCGACATATGCAACAATACAAAATTCCATTCGTGTTCGTCTTGCTCATCCCTATAATGTCAACGAGAGTTCCGCTATTCAGTAACCAGCCTGGTATAAGCTTCATGCGGGATGTCTCGATCCATTCTTCATCCTAGACCTTGATGGGGACAATGGAGACTCGAACTAGGGCAGAAGAACCAGCTCCTTTCATGGCCCATCCATCATCCAGTGACCTACCGAACCCCTAGCGACAGCCGGAGGAATGGCGGAACACTCAAAACGAAGGGAGAAATTCAAAGCTAAACCTCAATCAACGCTTTCGCCTTCGCCCGAATGTCCTCCCCAAAGTCCACGGGGTTGTTCGGGTCGCCGCCCGTCATCAGTGCCAGTTTACCCGTGGTATCGTTGACGAGGGTGTTGGTGAAGTTGTTCCGGCCGAGGACGTCCTGGGCTATGCTGCGGGCGTTGGCGTCGCCGGCGCGGAACTTGTCCATGTCGATTTCCTGCAGTTCGCGGTGGGTGTTGCGGACGAAATCGAACAGGAAGAAGAGGGTTGGGTGGGTGTTCGGGGGCTGCATTTGCGGGTGGGCCTCGAAGGATCTGTTGGTTGGCCGCAGTTGGCATATTAGTGAAGGCACGATCTTATTCAGGCTTGGGCGTGAGGATGAGATGATCGACGATTGGCGTGCATGTGCTAGCTTATGGTGATGCTTGCAGGCAGATACGTACGCGAGGAGCTCGGCCATTTTGGCATCGATGCGGTCGACGTTGAATTCGAGCTGTTCAGCGCTCATTTTGGATGGTGTAGCAGCCTGGAAGGACAGTGCTGTGTTTGTGATGAGTGAGAAGACGTTTGTGGGCAACTATTAGTAACTAGTAAGCGATCAGTCGATGAGATTAGGTGATGTTGGATGACGAGGATCGAATCCGATACATCACGAAGTCAGTAGAAGTGGTGGAGCTTACACCAAAATCAAGGAAGAAACCTTATCTTATCGCGCGGGAGTTTTCCCACCGCGCTATGTACCTTTTCTAGAGATTGGGCCAAGAGATATCAACCATTCAGCTTCACTTTCGCATAGATGGTCATTTTATAGAGAATCTGCATAATCTGTCGCTAATTGGGACCCTCGTCAACCTCGCCACAGCCTCTCCTCATGGCGCCCCGTCAACCCCTCAAACTCCTCATGCTTCACGGCTACACCCAGTCCGGCACCCTATTCCACGCCAAAAGCCGCGCCCTCATCAAGCACATCACAAAGGCATTCCCTCTCCACGAAGTCTCTGCCATCTACCCAACAGGTCCCACCCGCCTCAACCCCGCCGACATACCAGGTTACGAGCCGCCCGCGGAGGGTTCCACCGCAGAACAGCAGCAGGAGCAAATCGAAGCATATGGGTGGTACCGCCGCTCAAACACCGCCGATCCACCCCTCTACGTCGGCCTTGAAGGCGGCCTGGATGCCATCGCCAAGGTCCTCCGCGAGGAAGGGCCGTTCGACGGCGTGATCGGGTTCTCGCAGGGCGCCGCGATGGCCGCCATGGTTGCGTCGCTGCTCGAGCCCGGCCGAAAGCAGGCATTCGAGCATTTCGCGGATCCCAAGGTTGCGTCGGAGGGGCTCGATGTCAAGGAGCCTGTTGCGGGTGTCGCATTCCCGGCGTCGTTTGAGGAAGTGGGTCATCCGCCTCTGAAGTTTGCGTTGTGTTATAGTGGGTTTCGGTCTCCGGGGCCGCGGTATCGGCCGTTCTATGAGAATCCGCCTATTCAGACGCCCATTCTGCATGTTCTGGGGTCGTTAGATGCTGTTGTTGACGATACACGCAGTCGTGCGCTGGTCGAAGCCTGTGCTGGTGATCCGGAAAAGGAGGGGAAGGTTGTGTGGCATCCTGGCGGGCATTTTTTGCCTAGTCAGAGACCGTATTTGGATGCTGCGGTGCGGTTCATCAAAGAGCAACTGGCAGGAGACCAAGCGAAGATGGATGCAAAGGAAGATGACGTTAGGGATATGGATTTGCCATTTTAGACTTGGGTCGACTACCCGCTTTGTATATATCTGACCCGAGGATTCAGATGATGTCCATAGACTTAGATGGTATCGTGCATTAGAGGAATACAATATGACAATTGACGCTCAGTACCCGATGCACTAGGTAAGCTTCATGCTTCAAGGAATTGGAATTCTGCGTTACGCATTAATCCGGAGTCTTCAATATCAGTATATTTTACACACTATTGCAAAATATCTAGGACCCAGTCCGATCATGACCGCTATCCACATATGCGCCACCGGCCAAATGCCTCTCAACGAGCCTTGCCCTTCTCCCCGCGGGATGGAAGAATTCTGGCCATCATCTCTTCCTTGGTAATCAAATGATCGATGCGCTCCAATAACCCAAGGAGGCTCTTCATGTCGCTGCTCCATTCGTTAAGCACATCATCGGCATCTCGAGGCTTGGCGAAATTGACCAGTCGTGCTGGACGGTCAATCTTGGCATAGATGGTTTTTGATGTCACCAACTCGCTAATGTACTTTTCTGTCTCTTCCTCGGTCAGATCGAGGAGTTCAGTCAGGCGACCCATCTGAATGCGAGTGTAGTACTTGGCTACCACGCGGACATTGTGTTCGATGACGCGCTTGCGGAGATCTTGCCACCTCTTGTGTGCCTGATCCTCCGCGGACTGACTGGGTTGCGCGTTGAACACGTCCGTGTTGCAGAGATGTGGACCAAACTGCTCAGCAACCATGGGCCAACGCATCAGCTCTGGGACGGTGAAGAGCTTGATCAGGCGAGCTTCAACAGGAACTAAGGAGAGTCTGGAATCTTGCTGAATGCGATGCAGCAGATCGGACTGTTCGTTGTCGTATGGAGATAGGACAATGTAGTAGACGATTCGGGCAAGTACCTTTGGTGATTATCGTCAGTTCCACATGCAAAGGCAGGTTAGGTATCAGCTTACTGCTCGCAGTTGCTCCGGGTTATTCTGCACTGATTCCGTGTCCAGCACCTCGCGGTAGTGTTTGCAAACATCCAGATACTTGTAGTCATGGTTTGCAAGAATGATCTGTTGCTCGTAGTAACGGAGCTTCAGGTCTGTCACGTCTTCATCGACTTCCATGGGAGGTTCATCGGGAGCCCGTGTCTTTTCTCTTTCCTCAGCCGTCTTCTTGAGCTTTTCAATTTCCTCTGCTGACTTCTTTGGCTTGCGTGCGAAGTATTTTTTACTGATCTTGCGACTCAAGATCGCAGCTTGTGACCAATCACCACGTTCTATACAAAGAGCAACCTGCTCCAAGATAAACTCCGTCTTCTCACGTCTCGTCATGGAACCGAAGGTTTCCACTTGCAACTCGCAAAGAATGTCGGCGGCAGCATTGACGTCACCCTGTGATTTCTTAATGTTCGACAAAATCCGTGTTACACGAGCCCTCTCTACTTCGACGAAAATCTGCAAAAGGTATCAGCAACAAGCGTGCTGGAGCGACGGGCCTATTATGGTGCACTTACCTTGCCTTCGGTCACGGTTCGCAGCGTCTCGATCACAGACAACTTCACATCCATGCTAGGTGTCTCATCCAAAAACTTCATCACCGTCTGAACCATCCTCGTTGTCGCCTGTTTGAGTTGTCCATGTTTCTTGGAGAGCAGGAGCACTTGGTCATTGAGGAGATTCCAGTTGCCCGAGTCTTTGCAGATTGTGACAATGGTCACAAGAATCCGTGAAGTAGTAGCGAGATCAGAAGCCTGAATCGAGTGTCAGGTTAGACTGGGTCATCGGGAAAGTAGGAATCCAGTATGATGCCATACCTGTCGTGCTTGCTTCTCCAGAACCAGGAGCTTATCGATGGCAGCTTCAACATCGGACTGAGGAGACACTATTAGTACTAGATTAATACCAGAAAAGAGATGCTTCAAACCTTTGCTAGCTGCTCTGCTTCTGGGATCAGCTTGTCAGCATCCTTCGAGAAATCTTTCTCCGGCTTCAAGAGGCCTCCGTCGGACATGGTGACAAGCGCTGAGACGTCACTTCTTGAAATCGTCGTACTGATGCGCAGAAAGTAGAAGCCCTGTAGCGTATATCCCAGAGGTTCCAATAATTCTGGAAGCAGAGTGCTGATTATGTTTGAAATAGATTCTAGATAGGTGGACGTGAAGCTTGACAGTGTGTACCTGCGCCTTGCTCTCCGGACCAGCTCAAGCTGGCGGAAGCTCTGTGTCATGTGACATGGCATCACCCGATCGGGCTACAGGCCAGTGCCTCTACGTTCTCGCGATCCTGTCAACAAACCTGCCTTTCTCGTGCACATCGCCGTTTCGCGATCAGATGTCCTCACAATGAAAGACCTTGGAAAACGCGGGCACCTACTGGAGTTTTCAGCCTTCCTGAGACGATGACTTTTATCGAAGCTCGCACGATGTAATGTCCAACTGACGCTTGGGGACATGGCGATCAGGATCAGTCAAGACCTACGATGGAGGATCTATGGTCACTACCAGCATCATGAAGGCTTCTGCTTTGGCTGCTATTAAGATCCTTCCACCAGTCTTCTGGCAATTCCTCCAACTGGACCCGTTATGATCCCCTTATCAGTCTATCCCATCCGTTCCTGGTAACATTGCTGGGATGCTTAGATAAGCGAAGGGTACGATCACGCAATATCGCATTAACTATTTCGGGCTCCACGGCGTACAAACCAGCGGAAAGAACGTTTAAAGAGTCAATTGTTTTTCTTGTCGCATTTGACAGATTCTCTTTGAATTTCTGTTCTATAATACTCTTGATAAGCTTATCGGTCCTGTCATCTGTGACAGTCATTTTGGGGGGAGTCACTGTTATCTCCAGCGTATGAATAAGCTTCATCCTGGGTTCGGTATTTCCGCGGAAATTCAAAAAGCGATTCGTGCCCTTTCTCTTAAGGCTGAGGACCGAAGGCGGTTGGGCTAGATATAAGAGTCAAACCAACCATTCTGCAGCGTTCATATTCAAATTTTCTACCTCATAGAAGAGAACCAAAGCTCTTCGTATTGGACATTGCTCGCGGTGGCAATCTGTCACGATGAAGGATGCGTCTTGCGACAATGGCTGTCAAGCGCCTTTGCTGATGGCTATGAACACCGAAAATCAGGTGCACTTAATTATTGGGACGAACCCTTTAGCAGGAGCTCGTTGTGCCAAGAGTGTAGGTGTCGGAGCGAAACCTATCATCATCGCACCAGATACGGTCGATGTGCACTATACATTGACCGAGCGCTTCGAAGATGGCTCAGCGCAATGGATACGCAGAGCATTTCAAGACGATGATTTAACCACCCTTGGGCGGGAAGAAGTCGACCATGTTGTGGACATGGTGTTTGTTACTCTCGGCGGGAGTGACCCATTGAGTAAGCATTGATTAATTTGCCATACCGCAGCTTTCGTGACCGTTGACACTTCAACAGGTTCCCATGTTTCGAGGCTTTGCCGGCGTCTGAGAATTCCGGTAAATGTATCTGACGCACCGGATCTCTGTTCCTTCAGCTTGCTCTCTACGTACTCAGATGGCCCTCTGCATATCGGAATTACGACTTCTGGCCGTGGCTGTAAGCTTGCTTCTCGCCTCAGGAGGGAAATTTCTGCTTCGCTTCCTCCGAATCTCGGGACTGCCATAGACAGACTCGGTGCGGTAAGAAGGCGACTTTGGGCAGAAGACTACGCTGCAGGACTCTGTGATGGCATTTTCGACGGCGACGACGATGATTCGACAGGTCAAAAACATACTTTCAATAATCTAGTCACGGAGCATGACAAATCGGCCGCCAAAACAAGACGCATGCGCTGGCTCTCTCAGATTTGCGAGTATTGGCCATTACGCAAACTCGCCGCTATCACCGATTCTGATATTGAAAGGATCCTTCAGGCCTACTCCGCTGGTAAAGAAAATGCCAGCGACATGAATGGGACTGCGTTGTTATCTAAGAAGGGAAAGATTGTCCTGGCTGGCTCTGGTCCAGGTCACCCTGATCTGCTCACTCGCGCAACTTATCACGCGATTCAGAATGCAGATATTATATTGGCAGATAAGCTTGTGCCTGCTCCGGTCTTGGACTTGATTCCACGGCGGACTGAGGTCCATATTGCGCGGAAATTCCCCGGAAACGCGGATCAAGCACAAGAAGAGTTTATGCAAATGGGGATCGAAGCCCTACGCCAGGGGCGGTACGTACTCCGGCTGAAGCAGGGAGACCCGTATCTCTATGGTCGAGGAGGAGAGGAGTTTGAGTACTTCCGAGGCGAAGGGTTTACCCCCTTGGTTGTTCCCGGAATAACTAGTGCGCTCAGTGCCCCATTGTTCGCGGATATCCCTGCTACCCATCGTGGTGTTTCCGACCAGGTTCTGGTCTGCACCGGCACTGGAAGGAAAGGCGCAGCTCCAGAGCCTCCTACTTACGTACCGACTCAGACGGTCGTCTTCTTGATGGCGCTGCATAGACTGTCTGCACTTGTGGAATCACTGACCACGCTACCGGTGGCATATGACGACTCCCGGGCGAGAACGGCCTGGCCCAAGGATACTCCATGCGCCATCGTGGAACGGGCTTCATGCACAGATCAGCGGGTTATTCGTTCAACTCTTGAGCACATCTGCTTGGCATTTGAAGCTGAAGGGTCTCGCCCTCCCGGGTTGCTCATTGTCGGAGCCAGCTGTCATGTTCTACACCGACCCAGCGGTCAAAAATGGATCGTGGAGGAGGGATTTCGAGGCCTGGATGAATTGCATACTATTTTAGATGAGTCTATGAGGGACGGTGTGTGCTGACGGCCTCATGATATGGTTAGCATTTGCATTCGGTGATTTTCTGGGCACGGGTTATGAGAGATCACAATCATGAGCGGGGAGTTTTGTTCCAACAGGTCTTCGATTGAGATAGAGATACCCATGTAAATTATGTTTCAACACTGTGAATTGGTCACGTTGATTTCTCTTTTAGCTTTCACATTAAACCAAAAGGGTAAATTCAGACCTCTTTTAATTCCTGGAATACCTGTCAAAGTAAAACCGACTGGGAAGCTCTGACGTGAAACCTTCAGAAGCATGAATGGCTTGAGGTAGTTGGGTGAAATATATCTTCTCCGTACAGGGATCTATACAGAGTCACGGGTTCCGCCACTAGGCCTCAAGTACCCTCCACGGCTCCTCAAGTCAACTCCTGTCAGCATCAACCATCTCAACAAGCATCTATCATCAAACAGCACCGACTGCAATATGCCAGCAGACAACAAGACATATCTCTCGAACGGGCAGGTACTCTCAAGGTACGGATACGATAGCCAGTTCTCGAAAGCGGAAGACACAAGACTAATGTCATCCCACTCTAGTCCTCCTCTCTCCGTTCGCATCCTACGCTTCTTCGAAAATATCTACTTCTTCCTCGGCTTATATTTCGTGAGCCTTTTCTCGGTATGTTGGGACCGTGATGTTCTCCGACACGTCGTTCCTCAGCGGCCTCGCCGGATCGTTCACTCCGCACAGTGTACGCCAGTTACTGACATTTGACCTTCATAGCTCGATCCCTATACTGCCGCTCAGAATTCGCAGTTCAATGTATCACGGGCAGGAAACCGCCACAATGCTAGGCCTCGCTGGGGAGGCAGTGGTCCTAGCTCTGGAGGCGGCGGCGACGGCGGCGGCGGACCTGGAGGTGGATTTGGCCCTCGCAGGATTGGACGTGTGGACGATATTAGAGGGCCGGAGTGTAAAAGCTGCCGTTGAGGTTGGGTAGGGTGTTTTGTGACTTGTCCTTCAGCGATGCTTTTGTTAGGTTGCCTTACGAGAACCAGCGTGTCTTGTATGTGGCACGGGGATTTGGCTTTTATTACAGTGAGTAATGACATATTCGTCGTACCTCCTTCGCCATTCGTGTGCATTGTACATACTATATCCCGCTGGGCCGTATATAGTGTAATGTCTGTCCATCCATCGACGCTCAGATCGTTTTGATAGAGACTGGTCTACGCATGGGGACTACGGCTGCGGACTCGTTACCTCTGACATACCTGCTGGAAGAGTGAGGTATTCGGAGATTCCACCCGCATTCACGGTTGATTCTTGAGAGGAATAATGACTACAGAGTACATCAGCATCCATATAGCTCATCGTGATGCAGTAACCTTGACGTCACGTGACTCATCGAGGTTCTCCGCAGCTGATGAGGGACGCAGCAGCAAAACCGTGTTGGCCCACTGATAGCGTTGACTGTGTGATTTTTCCTCCAGGTCGTCCAGCAAAGACTCCAGCACTATGACTCTCCCTACGAACAATGCCGAATGGGGTGCCGTGATCTCCAGTATCAAGGACGAGCTCCCGGAAGTCTACCCCGTATACCAAACCCCACTTCCGTCCTCCGTGAACCGGTACATCGATCACACCCAGCTCTCCTTAGAGGCAACAGACGAGGATATTGACAAGCTCTGCGCGGAGGCCGCCCGATACAACTTCGCTGCGGTCTGCGTTCGCCTGCGACATGTCCGCAGAGCCGTTACAAATCTTCAGGGCAGCCCGGAGTGCACTGTGGCCTGCGTCGTGGGATTCCCTGAAGGCACGCATGACACCATGGAGAAGGAGAAAGAGGCGCTGGACGCCGCAGAACTGGGAGCGAGTGAGCTAGACATGGTGATCAATTGGCCAAAGTTGAAGGAAGGCCAGTACATGGATGTTTACGCCGATGTCCTTGAAGTGCGGAAAGGGGCGCCGTCGCCGGTCAAGTTGAAAGTCATCCTGGAGACTTCGCAATTGACCAAGGATGAGATCATTGCTGGCTCTGTTATATCGAGCATGGCCGGGGCCGACTTTGTCAAGACCAGTACGGGATTCAAGGGAGCGGGGGCCAATGTTGACGACGTCGCTATGATGCGGGCTGTCGTTGAGCTGGTAGGAAGGGGAACCAAGGTGAAAGCTAGTGGAGGAGTTCGCTCAGCGGAAGATTGTGTCAAGATGTTGAAAGCGGGCGCAGATCGCATTGGAAC